AAGGAGGTATTGTTCACAGGTTACCATAGCATGTTTCCAAGCGATACAAGGCGTTGTCTATATAAGACTCAAACTCACTGCGGATCCAGACATTTGAATTGAGAAAGCTTCCTGGAGAGGTGGCGAAACGTCTTCAAATCTTTAAAACCAAGTCCAGTGGATATTTTTTGAATTTTTACGGAATGACTATGACCTGGATGACTGAGAACCTTCATCAGCACTATTGGCAATGATTACTTCTGCATTTGTAAACCTCTGAATGTTCCGATCAACACCAGTGGATACATAATCCAAGAGTGCAAAGAACATTGTTGGACTTAAAACCAGCCCAAGGCGGATGGACCTTCTAAGCTTCCTAAGAGAGAAGGGACATTTATAAAAGATGTCAAAGAAAATCTGCTTTGAATTTAATGTCAAACGAAATATTATAGATATTCTTTTACCAGGGAAAAACCTTTAAATGTGCACTACTTAATTAACTCTGTTAACCTGGGTTTGATTCCCAGCCCAGGAGTCTTTCTGCATGGAGTTTGCATGTTCTCCCTGTGCATGCATGGGTTCTCTCCGGGTACTCTGGTTTCCTCCCGCAGTCCAAAAACATGACTGTTAGGTTAATTAGCTTCTCTAAATTCTCCTTAGGTGTTAGTGTGTGCGTGAATGGTTGGTTGCCCTGCAATAGACTGGTCACCTGTCCAGGATGAACCCCGCCTCTTGCCCATTGACAGCTGGAGATAGGCATCAGCACCCCTCGCGACCCCAGCAGGGATAAGCAGGACGAAAAATGGGATGGATGGATGTTCAATTTAGATTTTGCATGTCTGAACGGACCTCATAAATGTGGTTTTTGTAATATTCGAGCTCTACAAGAGTATCTAGAGGGTTTAGACTGTGTGAGGCAGAGACAATTCAAAAGAAAGTTCTCTAAAAGCCAGTTGCATAAAAGGAGAAAGTAGCAGCAGGGGAAAAGCTCCTTTTGATGCTTCTAAGTTCTGTACTATCACTTACAAACAGAACACCAGGATAAATAAACATGTAAAACTGAGGCAGAGACCAACTTACTTGGAGTCATTGGATCTCTCTACGACTATGGCTGGAAAGCTTTGAAGCTTTTGTTTTTCGGATAGTGGACTGAATAGCTCTTCAAAGCATTTTTGGCATTCTGTTCCCCCTGTTCCTGGGACTCATCTGCAATTATGTTGACTTTGGTTCAGCCGGTTGTGGCGTCAAATGTCTCTCGATTTATGTTCCTTGTAATTTATGATCCGCATCTTTAGAGTATGTTTAAAACAAGCATTGCATCTGGACTCAGCCATAGACAATGAGGAACAGAAGATTATTTTGAATCGAAAATTTGGAGGTTTCCATGGTATGTCGCAAAAAAGTTAGTACTTGGTTGAGACAATTACCCATGTAATCCTGCAGAACCCTTAAACTAGGATAGATGTCAAACTAAAGCATAAAAGATAATTTTCAAATATTTCCCGCTCAACCCAACAGATCTACCTGATGCCCCAGAGTTTGGCGAGGAAGAGGGTTTGGAACAAGAAGTACCCTATTTGCATTGAGCTGGCCAAGCAGGAGGACTTCATGTCTAAGGTGGAGGGAGAGCGATCTGAAGCTGGGGAGGAGAGGACTACTGGGGTGGGTGAGATGCTTGAACGAACTGATAAAGCTGAAAGACCTGAAGGTTGCTCATCAGCGGAGGAGCAGAGAAGACCGACCGCCGGAGGAGGGGATCTGACAATCTACTTGTTCGGGAGGACCGGTAGAGAAAAGGAGGAATGGTTTCGGAGGTTTCTCCAGGCATCCCAGATGAAGTCAGAGGGAAGAGGCAGCAGTCTGTCCAGCATTTGCAAGAGTGGTGAGAAGATTTTAACTGTCACACTGCTCCAACACAATCTGTGCGGGATTCTACAAGATGTAGCTTCCTCCAAAACGCAACCAATAATGAGAATCCCCATTATTTGGAGCCTGTAATTGAACTGCAATCAGATATGTGTGTAAGCCTCAGTTTAGGCACTAGCAATCCCCTGAACTGAGCAAACAGCAGAGTGTGAATGGGTCAGCAGGATTACAAGTGCAGCGGAGTAGCATATTATAGCAGTGGTTCCCTCAGTGGGATATAAGCCGGTAAGGATAAGAAGAATCTCTAGCAGTGTGGGTGGGGGGAGTGGGGGTCGGGCATTATAGGCAGCACAGGTTGGGCTAAATGACAGTAGAGCATGATAAATATGATCTATTTCTGGTTTAATAGAAATTGATCATGCTAATTTGGTGCTGTAGTGTAATGTGAATAAGGAATACAAAAAAGATGCTAATTATCTCCAATCGTTAAGTTGTTAAATATGAATGAATGAATAAATCTAGCTCATCCAACATTTGTTTCATAATTCCTCGCTCCATGTTTTCCATTCCGTTTCACTGTTCCCACTTCCTCCTGCAGCCTTCCTGTCCACTCAGAGCCGCAGTGGCAGCATCCAGTCGGGTGGAGCCCCGGAGGCTGACAGCAGGGGCAGCAGCAGGGGAAGCCAGGAGGAGTTGTCTCAGCCTCGGCACAGAGAGACCCCTGCCTCTCTCTATGGGGGCTCAGCCGGAGGGATGAAGCAGAAGATGCTGTTGGACTATAACGTGTACATGGCCAAATACGTTAACCCTCAGGCTCCTCCTGGAAGCCCGAGTGCCGCCGACAGCCCCGCGCAGAGTCCTGAGAGCAGCCCCAAAACCACCAAAAAGGTATGAGGCTGATGGAGTCATCTGAAAATAAGAACAGCTTTAATCCCAATAAAGCCTTAATCCCATTAAAGAACTCTTATATTGAAATAAACATCTATTTCCTTACATTTAGAAGTGTAAATGTGTCTGATCTATTCTGATCAAGCTCAGTCAGCTGAAGGATGGACAGCATGGATAAAATACTCTAAACTGACTTTAAAAACATCATTTGGGGGGAAACACTGAGAAATGTGTTTAAAATGCAAGGCCCGTGCTTCAGAGGGATGTACAGTGTTTGCACATCTGATACGTCTAATGCAGCAAAGAGGCAGTGACATTCCTTTCCTGATGAAAGAATCTGATCTTAAGACTGCAGTTTATTACAGGCAACCCACTGATAGGTGCAACTTCTGTAAAGTATGATGAAAACACCCTGCAGTTTTCATCCTTCCTGCCTGAAAAAGAGTCTTCTTCACAGCAGGCAACCAAGTATTTGAAGAATCTGCAGCATTGACAAAGCTTATTACGAATAAATAAAAGATTTATAGAGATAGAGGGAGAGTATGATGACCTGGTATTGAGGAAATCTTATTATAAATTAAGTATTTAGAAATAAAACATTAGCCCCAAACATGCCTTTCATGGTGACTCAAACAGAGCATCAGCTTTTCTCTGCTTTATCTAATGAAAGGATGTTTCATCACACATTGGCACATCTTCATCAAAGATCTGACCAATGGCCACAGCTTCTTCTTCTTTATATTTTAGAGGAGATCTGTCTGTTAGGGCCGACCGTTGAACCGCACCCTAACAACTCAGTTCCCTCAGGGTACTTTCTCTTGCTGTAGTTGTGCTCAGCGCAGTGCTATGATGAAACATCATTTTCACAATTCTGCTCCACCATTGTTTCATTTAAAATCCCAATAAAATGCATTGAAGTTTGTGGTGTTATGTTTCTAAATGTGGAGAAAAAAACACCCTCATTAAAGCTTTTGGTTTCTTGTTTACTCACTTTGTTTCTTTTGGGTTAACTTTCTCCATAACAGGTCACTTTAGCGCCTTGCTCAAGCATGCTGTAAACAGACGCTGGCAGGGTAATCAGAGGTTGGCAGGGTCACCTCACTGCATGAAGGACTGCCTGTCGCTGCTTAATGCTGCATTTCATTTGTTATGCCATATTTTATATATATATATAATTTATTGAAAATCAGCAGCATTACCTTATTTGGGATGTACCTGTCCTTTCATGTGCCAACACAGAGTGCCTGAGGCAGGAGAATTGGCTGCAAAGAAGCAATGCTAAACAAAGATGCGATCAGTTTGATGAGGTAGAGTTGGGTTTGGAGAGGTAGCCAGAGAGCTGAGACAGGTATTGTCTCCAAAGAGGAGAAATGATGATGTGTGACAGCACAGGCGTAACTTTCTGAAGGACTGGTGTGGACATGTCCCCACCAATAATCAAGTGAAAATGCATTAATTCATTGTTTTCCTGTTTCGTTTTTCTGTCTCTTAAGCAGTGCTGCATACTTCAGCCGATTTCAACAATTCTGGTACCAAAACCTTCAGCTTCTTCTGGAGGGTTATGTTATGTCTTTTGGTCATTTCAATTATTATAATTTTTTTAATATTAAGCATTTTCTGGCCCTGAGAAATTAATGGAAAACTTCAAAATTTCAGCTACTTTGCCCTTTTTTGTTTCCAAGTTTAGCTTATTTCTGTATTAACTTTCTGTCCATATTTTACATGACTTCAACTTTTCAACACTTTAATCAAGTTTCTTATGTAGCACTAAGCTGCTCATTCAATACCACATTCCTCAACATTTTAACCAAACCTTTATTTCTTCAACCAGATAAGATTCAAGTTTTCCTTGCAATTTTATTTTCTGATTCTGCTGATTTAATACATTTTAGCCTATATTTTCAAAACTGGCTTAATTCTGCAATTTTTCTGGACAAGCATTAAGCTTTTCTGTTTGCTGCTAATTCATAACATGCCCGACATGTTTCTGCTGTCGGCTTCAGCTTGCTTCTGCTTTTTTTTCCAACAAAGAAATCAAGCATTTATCTTTTCTTCTATTTCATGTCATTTCAGTGGTTTCTGCCATTTTGAGCTTACGGTCTAGTGTACAGCATTTTCACAGCTGTTTCGCAGGAGCAGCTATTTTTCTAGTTTCAATAGACTTTGGCTCTCAGCAATATGTGGGACAAATTTCTAAATTTGATTTTGCTGCTTTTGAAGGAGGATAATCACATATGTAGCTGAAAGGAAAAACATCCAATCAATCAATTGAAATTTTTTCTGGATGAACTGATGAATGAAACTGAAATTGTGTGCATACTAGGGAGGCATGATATATTGCTGTTGGCATTATTCATCCTTTTTTTTAATATAAATTAATGTCTAACTACCCATAAATATAAATATCAGTGTATTTTTGTTCTATTGTGTTCTCAACAATATAAAAGCATTCAATAAATGCATGTTTGAGCTCAATTTAGGAAAATAAAAACCCTATTGAAAGCGTTTGTGTCGCATAACTGTAGGTCGATCAGCTTCCACCCTTAGATTGTCCCCACCAACTTTTATCGCAAAGTTACACCCTTGGCTGAGAGATTTAAAAAAACAAGACAAAAGCTGATGTGTGCATGTCCTTCAGCTACCCAAGAGTACGGAGGAGGCTGCAGAGCCCGAAGCCTGGGTCAATGCCTTTCTGGGAAGGATATTCTGGGACTTCTTGCGAGAGAAGTACTGGGCCGACGTCGTCTCCAAAAAGATCCAAATGAAGCTCAGCAAAATCCGGGTGAGCAGTGCTACGCAAATAAGTTGAACAAGCTGAAGCAATTCATATGATAAACACAACAATCTGTTTGTATTCATTAATAAGCCGTCAACTGTGTTAATGTGTGTTTTTCATCTCTTGATCTCCTAAACTGATGCCTGTGCCTCAGCTGCCATATGTGATGAATGAACTGACTCTAACAGAGCTGGATATGGGGTTCTCAGTTCCTAAGATCCTCCGTGCCTCCAAACCCTCAGTGGACCACCAAGGTACGCCAGAGAATAGAACAGATGTGGAGCTTTGTTAAAGTATTCCTGCCCTTGAACATTGCTTTACTTGTAGCCTCCTCACAATCACAAGATCTGTTATATTTGATAAATGTGACAGACACTAAGCAGTGCACAACTATTAAGGGAAATAATGTATCCTTGTAAAACATTCTCACTTAGAAACTTAAATTGTTTTTTTTATTTGCTAAGTTAATTTTCCTCATAGGCGTTAAGTATTTTGAAGCCTCTAACAGTTCTTCACTTCCAATAATCCCCAATATTTACTAGTTATCCTGTCAACAGATCTTCTGACCTAATATTTTCAGCTTAACAGACTTACCATGCTTCTATGACTGATGCTCTCTTTGTTCTGTTAGTGTAGGTGGACAGAAATGACTAAATAGCTTTGCACTTCTGTTATAATCCTTTCATTTTCAGTTGATAGATTGAGCAGAGCTCTGTGAGATGTTCAAAGCCTGGGATGTAGTGTTAGAACCTAACTGGGAATCAATGATCTAGAGGATAAAGTTCAAATAAAACATGGAAATTTGCAGTTGAATGGTGACAAAATTAGGGAAAATTGGAGTAATCCCAAAACCTAAGCAAATGGAGGTAAATACTGTGTGTTGTGTTTTTCTAATCTTTAGGATTGTCCTTTTTTTTCACTCCTCATCCCAGTAGATTAAGACATCCTGCTCCTCTGCAGTCCTGTCTGTTTGTTTGCTGAGCAATTTAAAACCACAGTAATTAAACTCCACATCCTGGATCCCCCTGTTCCCTTACTGAAACACTGACTCCTCCTCCCACTCTTAACCACAGTTTTAGAGTTTTAACTATCATCACACAAAGATTTGTCCCAAAGTTTAAAAAATTAAAGTTCTGTTGATCTCAGTTAAAGAGATGCAACATAAGTTGTCGATTTGCTTTCGCTTTGGCTTCATTTCTGTTCTATCAACAAAGCTGATTGCAGGAAGGATCTAAGGAAAATGCTATTTAACCCTGCGTGTAAAACCTTCCCTTTTTTGGGTCATTTTTTTGTCTTTTTTGGATTTATTTTTTCCAAAAGGAGAAAAAGAGAAGATGAACTAAAGCAAATTAATTGAGCAAGCAGCAGGGGTATTAAAACGAGCATCGTTATCCCTCCACTTAATGATAGGTGTGAGGCCACAATGCCATGGAGCTGGCCTTTTTTTACTGTTTCTAACTTGCTATCATGAAGTTTTCTGCATCTGACAAAGCCTTGATAGTTTTCTGTATCTTCCCTCATTCTCTGTCCAGGTCTCTGGTTTGATCTAGACATTTCCTACGCAGGCTCCTTTCTCATGACCCTAGAAACCAAATTAAACCTGGCTCGCCTTGGAAAAGAAGGCGAAGGGCTCGGGGAGCATGGAAAAGAATGGTGAGGATTTTACTTATGTTTAGTTCATTTGATCCTTATTTTTGACCTTCTGGTTCTCAAACCCATCTGGCTTGGAATTTGAACACATTTTGACACAAACATCAGTGTGTTTTACTGGTATTCTATGTGATGGAATAAGATCAAAATTGGAAAACCAAACAAAATATGTAACATGATTTATTATATCTTTTAATATAAAGCAAATCTGAACAATATAGTGTTTACTCTAAACACCCTAAATAATTTTTCACAGCTAAATGTCTTTAGAACTCTGCAAGTTAGTAAGGTAATGCATGAGATCTGCAGCTCATGTTCAGTAACTTGTACAGGACACCCTTTAGTCCACAAATATGCCCTTTATGGAAGATTTAAAGCAAGGAGGCTATAGATTGAACAAAACCATAAGAAGTCCAATTTGATCTTATAAAACAGCCGCATAGAGACGGTAAAAACCTTGGATGGAGATTCAGCTTCCAGCTGGGCAACAACCCTATTGATGCAGGCACATTCAGGTGTTGGAATGGACCAATCAAAGTATCGACCCACTTTCAGGCAGGACCCTATGGCAGGGGGTCTGCACCCTTTCAGATCCAAAGAGCCATAAAATTGCAAGCTTAGCTGAATAAAATTCATTTCAAGTCAAAAATATTACATATTACCATTAAACCTTTGTTATAGGAAATCTTATGCCATTTTAATAATTTGCTGATAAAAGTTTCATAAAGAGGAAGCCTTAATTTTTGGATTTTCTTTAATAAGATACTTTTTTTTAATATAAAATGTAAACATGTTGTTTCTAAGATAATGACAAGAAATAAAGATCTAAAAGTATATTCCCTATATGATCCCATTCTGTGGTGAAAATTGAATTCAAATGTTCTTTAATAAACCTGCTAAAGCTTTTAAGAATGGTATTTGTTAAAGGTACAGTGGAGGATGTTATTTTTCCAGGTGGATCATCAAAATGATTGGTCCTCCTAATTGTTAATCATTCTTGTGATATGTTTACGTAAGGCCGTCCTACGTGCTCACCGTCATTTTCACGTACCGGTGGTGAGTCTGACAAAGTGGAAAAATTCCAAATCTTCTTTTATAAATTACGCTTGTATGAGCGATGCAAACAGCAACATTTTTAAATAGAGCATGCACGAGGAGAAATGGGCTCGTACATGCTCTAAAACACGTTTAATAGACGTTCCCTCTCGGGAGCAGGTAAAGGTTTGTGCATGTGAATTTTTTTCAAATGAGGGAGAGGGTGGGTCTTTTGAAAAATGTACAAAAATCCTCCATTATACCTACAATAAACTATAATAAAAACCATGAATTGTCCCTTTATCGTATAGCTACTATTAAGAGCCAGTTGTGGCTCCATAATAAGAACCCTGCTCTATGGTAGCAGTTGAAAACTTCTATTTAGCTGGCTGAGATACTATGCAAACCAGCCTACAAGTCAAATCCCTATTAGTTCAAGGCTGGTAAAGTCATACCTCTATAATGGTTGTGCAGAATATTGCCTCAGAGGGCTGAATGGAGACAGACGCCAAACCTTTTAAATCCATATGTTCTTGTTCTTCAACTTTACAATTTTCCATTAATTTGAGCTGAAATATGTGAGTGTGGAGTGGGAAAACAGGTAAAGCAAAGTAATGATGTTTTCTTTAGAGTTTTCATGTTTTAGTTTCACTGTCACATAAATCATTTAAACTGTTTGAACTGGGTTCTAGCTCCATAGATCTTCACCTAGGGACATATTAGCTGCTGTGTATTTTATTTTACCAGTCCTACCCTTTTTGTGTTGACTCTTCCTCCTCCTCCTCCTCTCTGTACACTAATCCCCTCTTTGGACGCCTACACTGATGGATTTGTCCAATGAATGGTGAGTTTGGGAATGGATGCCTACAACTGCCTGTTAATGAATGAATAAATTATTTTGCTTTTTTTTTGTTCTTCTTTGCACTTTGGTTTTTATTTTGGATCAGTGGAGGTTTACCTCCTTGGATTTATTTAGTTGCAGTTCATTGAACAGAATTGGGTCATGTCCATACCCGTGATATCATGGCCTGACCTTCAAACAGTCACTGTATGTTTGTGTTTCTGCGACAGGCCAAGGCCACGGACCTACTGTCTGGCCGACAGTGACGAGGAGTCATCCAGTGCTGGCTCATCAGATGAGGAGGATCCCCCTGAACTGCTCAGTGACAAACCGAATCTGCCTGCATCAGAGGGGTGAGTGACGTGCACACAAACCGAACTGGAACCGCTCAGATGAACGTCGACGTTTTAAAAACCCTCCAGGTTCATCCACCTACTCGGCCTCCCGGGTTTGAAGGCTTACTGCTGATTTAATGTATCACCTACTCCCCTCCCCATCACCACCGTGGGTGCTGAGTAGCAAGAGATGCTGTTATGAATAAATGATGAACCTGACTCACTCCTTTTCTCCCCCTCCTTCTCCTCTATCTCCATCCTCTGCTCTTGTAGCTATGTAGGAGGCTACAGGCCCAGCAAGATCATGCGCTTTGTTGACAAGATTGCCAAGTCCAAGTACTTCCAGAAGGCGACCGAGACGGAGTTCATCAAGAAGAAGATGGAGGAGGTGTCTAACACACCCATCCTGCTCACCGTGGAGGTGCAGGAGTGCAGGGGGACGCTGGCTGTCAACATCCCTCCTCCCCCTACGGACAGGATATGGTATGTTCAGGAGCACAGGAAAAAACTGGGTTTATTTTGAGCATTAAATAGACAGGAGGGCTGGCATAAGAACGTAACACTGCGCCCTCTGCTGGACACCTGTAGGAATGCAGACATATATTTACAAAAAAACTTGGAACATTCAAAAATGTTTCTAAGAAATTGAGCTAAAAAAAAAACATTCTTTATGTGTGCTCCTTATGCTCTTTCTTTCATAAATTGTACTTCTATAAATATGTAGCAAAAACTAAATAAAGAAAAAAAACTGCATTTATATGAACTTTTTTGATTACTAAACATAGGCCTTTTATTTCAATTCATTGAGGAATAAATTTATTTTTATTTCACACAATTTTCTGTTGATTTAGCTGATAAATTCTAAATGAGTTCTATAGTTTTAATGTGAAACAGGTCAATGCATTTAAATAATTTTAGCGACCACTGAGACTCATTTGGCTTCTAAAACTCAAACAGGAGAGACCTTGATAGGGAACTCAGATTTGTTTACTCTGCAGGGAAAACTACAGCTTTGTTAGCACCTACCTGTTCAGCCTACATGCTAAACAGGTTGTTAACGGCCACTGGCAAATAAAAAATATATCCTTTCGATGTTCAGGTACGGTTTTCGAAGTCCTCCACACCTGGAGCTGAAAGCACGACCCAAACTGGGCGAGAGGGAGGTCACTCTGGTTCACGTAACGGAGTGGATCGAGAAGAAGTTGGATCAGGAGTTCCAGGTAATCGAAACTCATGAGCCTGAGAGGCTAGATGTTGAGTTCAAACTGACGTGCGTGTCTGACTCTACCAGTAAGCAGAGGATTACTGATATTCCTCGGACACGAATGCAAACTGCTAAGGGTCCCCCTGATGTCTACATTTATCTCTGCCTGACTGCTTCAGGGCTGTTGTTATAAACCATCCCCCTTCAATCAGGGCTCTAGTAAAGTACAGCACCGTTCTCAGCTGCAGATCAGGGTATTTACCATGTCTGTTTGTTAACAAAAGCATATTTTTAGTGAACGTGTTTTAGAAGCAACAAAAAAGTGTTGGAAGCTGAAAGATTTTCTTGTTCTCTTTGATAATTTTTGTGTGTAAATATATTTTAAAACAAATTATCTTTCTTTTTCTGCAGAAAATATTTGTAATGCCAAACATGGATGACATATGGTTACCTATAATGCATTCTGCCATGGATTTGCGCTCCAATGCCAACTTGACTGTGACAACCGATGCCTTGAAAGATCCAGAGCCGGAGGAGTCTGAGGTCTCCGATACGTGAGAGGTGCTCTTCTAAAAGCATCAGTCAGTGACTAAAGATTCAGCCGCAGCCATGCTCTACGGTCATTTTCTCTCTCTTTCAGTGTCATTGTTTTGATAGACTGTTAGCAGTCAAAACAATGCCCCCCAAAAAAGATGGAAAACACAAGCAATTTGGTCAGCTCTCTCTTACTTTTTAAATCAATTAAAGCAAGAGGATGAAAGACAAATGTGACTCATCTGATTTCACTATTTATTTTAGTTATCTGGCATTTGATATTGGTTCAGTCTGATCAAACACAGTTCATGGGTTGAGATGGACTACAGCATCCTCTGCTGATTCTTGCACCTAAACGAAGCAAAAAGCCTTAAGATAAATGTATTGCTTAGTGCAGTTCTATGATCTTACAGTAAAAACATTCAGAAAATGCAAAAGTTAATTTGAGTTAATTTTTTTAGAGGAGTTAAAACAATCTTGCAGAATCATTGGTGCCTTTTTTTATGATTTATTTATTATTTATTTAAGCCAATTAATGTTCAGACAGCGATTACATAGAGGCGTATGGTTATTGCTTTATATGAAAATATGACTCAAAACAGGTCCGTGTATTATAAGTTTTTTCAAGATGAGAAAAAACAGGAAAATATACCATTCTTAAAATAGATGATTAGTCGATATCTACAATCAGAGCTAAATCTAAGAACAGCAGGAACTGTAACAGGGAAGGACGGATGAGGATCTTTATTTTCTTTTCAGCGCACATATGGAGAAAGATTGTAAGGGAAGTAAAAAAAACTAGAAAACTGATTAAAAGCTGCAAGAAATAGAGGCATCTTAAAGTGGTCAAACATTTGTTCCAGAAAAGTCATACGTGGTGACAAAGTGATGGCTTGTAGTATTGACAGAGAAACAATAAATAGTTGTTGTCCTCTTCTTTTTTGTGATTTAGCATTACTGCAATAAAAGATTAAATAATTTGATGTTTTTCATCAGTCCCAGTAATAGTTGAGGGCGCTGTAACTCAGCAAAAAGCCATTCTGATTCCTGCGTCAGCTAGAGGAACCATAATACCTGTGATGTGTAGCTGTGCCTAACATGATAGCTGGACAGTGTTGACTATTTTTGTAAAGTTGATCATGAGTGTCTCATTGTTGCTGTTATGAGGATTACCTAAAGCTGAGGTCACTGTTGAAAGAAGACTGTAAAAAAAAGAAAAGATAAATCCCAATAGGTAATTAGTTTGCTTTAAGCCTATCACCTATCAAATATACGATGCATATTAAAAGTGTACAGAAGATTAAAAAGGATTTTGTGATGTGAAATATATCTAATATTTTATGCAACCTTTATCATGTAAAACTCAAATGTGGAGCAATCACATCTCCTGAAAGGTGAAATAAAAAAAAAGGGCAACAGCCTGGTTTTAAGAGTGTAACCCTTAAAAGTTTACTTTTAATAATTTCAGTATTTTGTCTAAATCTCAAAAATTGGAAATTTGTCTTAAATTTTCTGCATAGTAGCCTACTGGTTTAGTCTTTTATTTGGACTATAGTGTAGGAGCAAATTAAAGCATTTTCTTCTAAGGAAAATAAAATCTGAATAATTGTAAAAATACTCAGTGTAAAGTATGGTTCTGGCAGCATTATGCTATGGGATTGCCTTTACTGTGGATGAAATTGCCTTTGTCGTGAGGATGGATGAAACCATGTACAGTTTCACACATCAGGAGGTTTTGACCCCAGACTCCAAATCTCTTAAAAGCTTGAGATTAGGCAGGATTAAATTTTTCATCATCACAGTGAGTCAAAATAAAAGGCTACACCCAAAACAAAAGAATAATCACACCATATGAAATTAAAGTTTTGAAGAAGCTTCAGTCTAATTCTAACATGACTTCTGTGGAATTGTTTGAAGATAGTTGTGGACTTGACATGCCCTTTTGCAAGGAGAGTAAATATTACCAACTGAGGATTTCTGTGTTGAAACACTCCCACAGCTGCTGAGCGCTATAATTTTATCGAAAGCTTTGTTTATGTAGTATTAGTTTGGGGATGTGCAAATTTATGCAACCAGTTTATTGAGCTTTTTATATTCATCCCTTTTTCCCCCCTTGGAGATATTCATTTGCGTTTCAGTAGAGTTGCTCATGAAATAGGTACACTAAAGGTGGATTTATTAAAGGTGGAAAAAATGTTAATTTATCATGTTTTTATCTGTTTATCCTGTATTTATATATCACAAAAAGATGAAACCCTCACCTTTTATCAGCCAATCAAATCGCTGCCTGCCCCATATATGATAAGTAATGAGCAGTTTCTATTGTAGAAACCAGGTCCATTAGAAATCCATCATGCTGTCATACAGCATGTTTTTTTTTTTTTTTTTACTGATTACGGTTGAAACGGGATTAGTTGTATGAAATGAAGGGATCTGTGAAACAAAGTGGCTCAGTTTCTCTCAGCACCCTGAATGTATAAATAAGACCTCCTCTACTCTCACAAGAGAGCATCATTCACTAAACACATGTTTCTGAGCAACATGTTTAAAAACTACGCCCAGCCCCAGAGTTGATTAAAAGTAATAATTTTCTATATGTATTGCCAAAGGGAAGATGATAACATGAAGCAAATCTGTTGTCTGCTTTCTGCTCATGCAGCATCAGCAGCTGAATTAAGAGGAATCCCAGAGAGACTCTGACTGTGCAGCAGGACACTGAAAAACCTCAAATGCAGCAACATAGAGATCTGGAATTTAAAGGTGTAATGAATCTAGTTTTTATTTAAATTAAAAAACATTCTGGATATTAGCCATATTATTTAATGTTGTCTGCAGTCATTCAGCTAAAGAAGATAATTATTTATGTGTTGTTCTGTTGTGTTAAAGAGCAGCGCCGTCAATGGAAGCTTTTCCTGTCTGCTTCAGAGGTGAATTAATGTGTTTTTTTATGTTCATACAGGTGTACGTTGGCTTGCATATGAGGCAGAAAGTGCCTTTGAGATAATCAAAACATTCCTTCATAATGAGCCACCACGTTTTTTGTTCTCGCATCGGTTATTGAACTGTTCTTGTGCCATCGATGACATCAAGACATGCCTGTAGTTTTCAGCCTTCCTTTGCTGTTTATTTGCAGTGATGAAGATATCAGGCTATTCTGTTTGCTGATAATGCCAAAATGTTTTGTTCATTGTGGATCAATAAAAAACAATTTACTTGGAAATAAAACAGTGTTCAGCTTCTTGGAAAAAAATAATATTGAGAAATTGCACCCATGTTTAGGTAGAAAGATGTGTCACGTGATTCAAGTGAAAACAAGTAGGGGATTGAAATGATGTGTACATTTTTAAATTAATTATCTTATTAAGTTCTGCATAGCATTTGATGTTTGGTTAGGTCAAAGTATTTCAGCCGGAAACGTTTCAGAACAGCTGAGCAACTTTTAGTAAAATATCAGCGGATATATTGTGATGTTTTGAATTTTTAACTAAAATTAGTTATATTATAGTTTTGAGGCCAAAATCTGTTTGTATATTATATTGTCAATTGAATAGAAAAAAAATAATTCTGTAAAGAATTGCTAACATTTAATTTTTATTTTTTTTATTTTTACCATAAGTGGATATAGAATAAAACAAATACTCTCAACGTGTCATTTTAACTTGGGGATTTTAATCATTTGAACCAAATTAAGTCTTGATTGCACGTTTGGATACAATTATAAAATATTGGTAATTTTACCTCGTTAATGGTTTTCAAATACTCTTTTCGTAGCCATCGCTAAACCTGTGGCTGGAAGATTCCCTCCAATATGCAATATTATAAGGCACTGTTTTTGCACACAATTCAAGGTCATTTCAGGTGCTAGATATAAGCCCTTTTAATCCATTTCAGTCTATTTTATATGCGTTTTTGGCTTAATTTCTTTCTGAAGGTAATCCCAATCATGTGTGATTATCACCCTTCAGATGAAAGGAAACTGAAGAAGCTATTCAAGAACCTGGGAATCAAAAAGGCTCAAACTGATCAGCTTGAAACTACTAGAACGTCAACAGTACTGTCCAGTGAGAAACTAGATTGACATCAGTGCAGCAGAAAAACTTGATTCATGAAGCATATAGCTGTTAATATGAATAATTTGATCAGAGCACGTGACCATTTAGAGGGTAAAAGTGAAACATTCATACCCCAAATCCAAGTATGTTGGTGGCAGCATCATCCTGTGGGCCTGTTTTACTGTCAGTAAGGTTTGTGCATTAGTCAAATTTGAATAACAGAATTTCTCAAAAATCTAAGTTTAAACACAGTGACTGTTTAATTTCCCAAGTGTAAATGACAACTGGCTGTAATATGGACAGGACAGACCAACAGGCTCATGGAATGATCTTCACAAGGCTGTTTAATATCTGGCTCTAGGACAGAAAACCAAGTATGCAACATTTCCAGAGCAGTATTCCAATATCGAAGAGTACGGAAGTCTGCTAGTACAACTGACTATGTGGAATACACAAAATCAACAAATTAAAACTTAGCAAACTTTTAGAAGCTATTGGAGTTATTGGCTGCAACACGATACTGTCAAATAATTTATAAAAGCACAAAAGTAAATACTAAGCCTGATATTAAATGAAACTGCCATAGCCTGAAAAACCACCACACAACCATTTGTAGGCTTATAACCTGGTCTTGTTTCAAGAAGACCCACAAAAAAAGGCTCAGATGAAGTTATTCAACTTAAAATTAGTAAAGTTTGAATATCTAATTGGAATTTACCATCAAATGGGATTGAAAAGATTTTTAGGCCTTCAAAAAATAAAAATGTATCATGACATTTACTTAAAAATGATAAAAACCAATCTAAACTATTTTGTCAGTACACACTACAGCCATTTGTGTCATGCTTTAAAAGAGCATCTTGGTAGAAAAATGCCAAGAAACTCCAGTTATGACAGGACTTTATTTAATCTAGCACTCATTTTGACCTGCGGAAATGGCAAAGAAACAGACCATTCCAGATCATTTAGTGCAAAGGTTGAAAAGAAAAACAATCAGACCAAGGTATGGATATAAATGTTTATTATATAGATACAATATTTAAATTCACAACCAGTCGCCTTCCTTTTGATAAGCCATCACCTGCAACAAGAAAAATGAAAAGTTAAAATACAGATTAAGAAAAAATAATCAGACTTATAAAATGCACATGCATGCATTACTCACCATGTTATCTCTGAAATTCACGTGGGTCCAGATCCTGCAAGAATAAGGCCAACTTTTAGTGTTGTGTTGAGAAGTGAATAAAGGCTTCTATTATCAGCCCAATATCAGAAATTTAAGTTGACTTCATTAATATTTCAGAAGTCTAACACGCGTAAAATCTCATCACGCAAGATCAAAACGAGATATATAGTTTTAAAGGCAAAAAAATCTTACCAAGGCCTACCCACGCTGCTGCCACGTGAGCCGCTTGTCCATCTTCAAAGTGCGCACATTTTATTTATTTAACCTTGCGATAAGGTTATGTCATTTCTTTGCTATCAGATACGGATACAAACTGTCTATATGATACATTTAACCTAGTTTTCTTTTATATACTTAGCGCTTTAGTTGAGAGCGCGTGCTCTCCCTGGATAAAATGTCTCCGGATGAAAATGGTGCTTTTATTTATACCACATCCGGTTTGCGGAGGCGTGTTCTGATTGGCTGAGAGCCCGCCGCGCGTCCCTCCCCCCCTTCCTTCACTCTTGAGGATACGAATCCAAAAGTCCAACCTCCGCAGTGTTAATTTCAGGAAGAAGCATCTTCACGGCTGATGTCGCCGCTGTCTTTATGAACCCATCCGTCTGTAGAAGTCAGAACCGAGTTTTTTTATGTAGCGACTAACCGCTCCGGACCTGCCAGCTAGCCTGAGAGCCGATGCTAACATGGACTGGCCAGGGAGCAGAAAGGCTCTACTGTGCTGCATTCTAGCCTTGCTTTTCTACGCTGCTCCCCAGCAGAAGGTAAAACAGCTATCAATATAAACGAGCACAGTTGGCTTGTAATTATCGGCTTATAGTTGATAGTTATTATTTTTAGACAGTAGTTGTCTGGAAATGAGGCTGGAATTCTGTCCATATGCTGCGTGTTGACATTACAGCCGTTAGCTAAACACGAACGTTAGCTAGCATAGCAAAGTAGATCAAATAGGCTAAAATCAACTTTTCTGACACGTTGAAACGTGTGAGGATACATTTTACTGTTATCAGTTTTCGGGAAATGATAGGAAACTATATGCTCTTGTATTTCAAACTTTTAGATCTCTAGTACATGAAGCTGTTAAAGTTTTGGACTCTCTTAACGTTTACTTTGATTGAATTGTTTTGTTTATTTTAGCTGTTCCAAAGGCTGTGAGAAGATGTAATTAGTTGTGATTTGATTGTGACCTGCTTGGAGTTTTGTTACTATCTCAGACTTTTTTTTTCTCATCAGCAGAAATGTCCCTTGTAATGTCAAAAAGTGTTTGAATTTGACAGCTAAAATGTCAAATAATAATAAAACAAAACAGTCTGGGTCATTACTTTTGATAGTTTTTTTTTTTTTGTTAACAAATACAGGGTTTGTATTTGCAGATTTTGTACAGTGTTTTCAATATAACTTAATGCATGGCCCTGAACCAATATAATCAGTGGCTATCGGTTTACTCAAACAAATAAATACAGCTAAGCCATTTGGCTGTTTAGGACTGATAATTTCCTGGTGTAAAGTTTCTTGTAAATCTAATTCCTAATACAACATTATTCATCTTTCCTATGTGATGTTTCAAATGCTTAAATAGTTTTCAAAGTAATTCGATTCATGTGTGCACAAATCACATACAGGATCCCTCAGAAATGTTTCACTATTAGTTTATATAGAGCTATTATAGAAGTGTAATCAAAGTTTGTACAACAGTGGATGGGTGTTTTTTTTTTTTTTTTTACATGGTACAGTCCTTTGGGGGGGAAAAACAAACCACACATCTAAAGGTCATAAATAGAAAGGCCTAATCAGTGCATATCTAGATACAGATATTAAATATTCATTTGCTAATTTTAAAGCTTCTGATTATTTCGGGGTATTAAAGCACAGGATGTTTTTTTTTGGAAGCACACACTACCGTTTTTAAACACTTTCTTATCAGGTACACAATTTAACACATGCATTTATTTTTGTCTGTTTGATTAATAATAACTTTGTGTAATCTCTACCCGGTAGATGTGTACACTTACGTTAGGCTTTAATCCTTTAGGACTTGTTACCGGGTATGCCAGTTGTATTTTTCCTTTTTACAAGGACTGTGTCCATAACTTCAAACAGACTTGTGTCAGTTTTAAAAGCATCTATAAATCCAGTCATATAAAACTACTATAGTACTGGTTATATACTGTGTGAAGAACATGAATCCCTTAGTGTTGGATGATAGGACTAAAGCAGTAATAATGCTCTATTTTGGATTGAATCTTTATCAAAAGCAATAAAGGTCTCCATGTGGAGACAAAGCCTAGAGACGCAGATCCCTCCATGCCACACTAGCAACTCACCTCAGCTAAAAAGCAGATTAAAGTGGCTTTATAATCCCTAGTCATGTCTCGGGTTCCTCTCTTATCCTATCAAAATAAGTTTGCAGATGTAGGTGGGTTGATGAATATTAGGCCAACAGGTTCTGATAAACATAAGAATGTGATTTTACTTAAATAAAAAGGCTTTTTAGGTTTATATTTTCTCTCCCCTCCGTCGTTGACACATTTCTAAGGGCAGACAGTTTTCCTTTGAGAGCATCAGACATCTGTGACTAAAAGGATGCAGTCGTCGGTGTATCATGTTGAAGTTTACGCTTCCTTTTACAGACTTCCTTTGGAGGTTGAGAGTTATTTAAAAACTCCGGACATTTCTGCCCCCAGTTGAAACTATTCAGTGGTCATTTTTTAATAGAATCTTATCGATGTCAAGTTTATAGAATAAGAAAGTGGGTGTTATCACAAGTGGGAACAACTGCTAGTTCTATTTTTGAAGACACAATCCTGCAAAGTTTTATTCATAAAGTTTCAATTATCACTTAAATTTTGTTTCCAATAAGAAATCCTGGTTATTTGTTTGTGGAGCCCTAAATAGAAATTACTAAAAATATCTTTAATTTAGTTTCAGACTCTGCTCTTCAGCACTGGTTATAGCGTTCCTTATCTTAAAAAAAGATCTATTTTAGGTATAAAGTAGCTTTATTTTTTGTAGTGCTCTAAACTGATGTTGCAATGCATTTCCTATAACACCTAAACAGATTAATGATAAAAACATTTTTTTCTTGGTTCCTGTGTTGGTTTCTGCACCCAGGCAAGCTGCAACATTTGCTGCTGGAAGCAAACAAGATGATTGGTTCTAGAAAGGATATGCATTTTACTAGTCTGGTGTTTTTTATCAGGTCTACGCCAAACTTTGCACACATGGCTTTTTTCCTATTTTTTTGTGCCACACGTGTTGTTTTAAAGTGTTTGTTTAAACTTGAAAAGAAAGCCGCCAGATCTAAGAGGCTCTGCGTTCGGCCTGGTTTGCCAAGTGGCAGCCTGCGTGGCGAGGTGACCGTCTACTGACCGCTGCCCATGATAACACCAGCGGCAGAGTCCCTTTTAAGCTGACCTCAATGCAATAAGGGTAAAACAGTAGATTCAGAAGCAAGGGTTAACAGTTATGTTGCACCAATTTCTGCATTCTTTAAGGCCCTTATTGTGCAATACTATTTCTGTGTAATACGCAGAATGAGGAAATGGAAGGGTGTCCATTATTTTATCCACTGCGTTTACAAAGCATCGGTAAATCACTTCCATTCTGAGCGGAGAAACTGGGAAACAGATGTCTCTGAAAGGCTTTAACATATGCATCAGCTGTTGATTGTTGGTCTCCATGCAAAACTAGAGGGCCAGCAGATGTTTTGGAAGTCGTTTGTTTGCGAAACCAAGAGAGCTGTTGGGGGTAAAAAGGGACAAAAACAGATTGGTTATGACTTTTTTTCCCCCAACATGCTTGTACAGTGGTTGTGAGTCTAAAGCTCGGTGGGAACAGCCGCAGGTGCATATTATTGACACACGCCTTTGAAAAGATGTGTAAGACCACAAGGAGAGATCTTCACTGTTGTGGAAGGGATATAGTTTCTCTCTTCAGAGGATGGGAAACTCCCAGCTGTTGTTTCGCCATGGTTTCTGTTCATCTTGCATGCTGAAAGTTTTAGAGCAGTGAGATGAATAACTAAACTAAAATAAACTGCAGATTGTGAAAGGGTTATAGGCTGTCTGCCAGTGATCACAGATACTGTTTACAGAGGACTGCGGCGTCAGTTCCACGTGTTCTTCATCCTACGGACACAAAAGACTGATGTGGCTGAATCCAGATTTTGATTTTATTCTCTTAAGGAAGGTCTTTGAATATCTGAGGGATTAGTTGTTTCCTGAGAAATCTTATTTCTCAAACCAAACCCTTGGCTAGAGTATCCTGGATCTTATTTCTTATACTAAGGAGTTTTAAAAGTTTTACTTTTAAAACCACTTGCATTTTCAGCATGATTTTTTTTTAAATGCATTTAGAAAAAAAAAACCCAAAAGTATTGAAGTGACTATAGTTTTTTTTTCTCCAACCTAGTGGTAATGCTGTGCTGCCTCTGTCTCAAATATTGCTGCACACCTTTAATCAGCTGGCTGAAAGATCTTTCCCTTTTTCCAGCATATTTCCATAAAAGAAAAACTCAGCTCCATTCAAACGTTCCCAGTCATGAGGAAAATAAACATTAATGGTGTAAAAACTTTCCCAAGTTTAACACTAAAACCTTAGGGAACCTGTTACTTCAGCCGATCGCTTGACAGGGTAATATCTGCCTGTCTGTTACTATGTCTGTCAGTAAACATTCAGAATATTCTGTTGAATATTAGACAATCTGACATTTTCTACAACTGTCAGTGGCCGGTCTACCTGCTCACATTATGGCTACATCCCATCAGTTCCTGCCCCATGGTGCCATTTCAGATCCTCTGTCCCTTTTATCTGAGTAGGCGGTTAAGGGTTTGAATAGAGGAGTGCCCATATGGGCTGCCAGCCCACAATTCAGCTGTCTGTGCTAAATTTGAAGAGCTCCTTTCACTTAGTACTTGGTTGGTTATTAAAGGCAGAACCAACTTTACAAGACCTACAAGATGACAGGAATGTAGCTCCTACCCTGCAAGTAATTATCAGGCACCTGTATCCTACTAGCATGTTTAAACATCAGATCTGCAGACGCAGGGTGCTGTAGATGGATAGAGATTATAGTGTTAATCTGTCATTATTTCCTTTTTCTGTAAAATGCAGGATTCTGGTGTCCTGCCTGCATCTGCCCAGTTTCTCTGCGTAGTATTTTGTAAGTTTGCATCTTTTATACGTGGAAGCAATTTGCAGTTCTCCAGAGTCTTTTAGAGGTAATGCTCTATGCCTCTGATCAATACTGTGGTTTAACAGGAACATGAGCACAGCTTCCGCTGCTTAGATTTCCTGTGGCAGAAATGTTATTCTGTTCAAAAACATGACTCAGTTTTAGATAGATGGGTGGATTTAAATTCAGAATCTCATTAAACCTGGGGATTTTAAACCCAGCCATGGCTCCACTTCTAGGCTGCACAGCATGCTAATAGAGATGAAACAGCCTGTTATGTTTTCCTCTTCTGTTAAACATTCTGCTGCATTTCGTGTTCGAGACTATCTTTAATCCATCTTGAGATTAGGTTAACGTTTATTTGTTGGTTTGTTTTTGTAGGGGTGTTGCAGTGCCAGCACGGTTGCCCTTCCTGAAAGCTTGCTCTTTGTGTCCACCTTGGATGGAAACCTGCATGCAGTGAGCAAGAAATCTGGCTCGATCAAATGGACTCTGAAAGAAGGTAAGAGGAGATGACTGCCGTCAAATTAAATTCAGAGGCTCTCCACCTTGTTATTCATGACCACATATAAAATACAAAACAGCAGGTTCCTCTTTTTTTTTTTTTTGTCAGCATGAAGGCTTCATTACAATAAAGGCAATCGGCCAAAAAAAAAAAGAAAAAGTTATTCTCTATGTAAAGATGATTTTTTTTCTGTTGCTGTTTGTAGACCAGAATAGAAAAGGTTTCCTCATTCAAGTTCTCTTTTCCATAACGGAGTAATAATTAACCAAGAGAAGGGGGGGCTTCTGCCTTAATCAAGGTCTGATTGGGCCTGGATCAGCAGCTTTCCTCTAGTGTCAGCTGCAGCCATGGCCTGTTCCATGGTTACTGCTGTCTGCTCTGGAATGGCTTTAGATAAGCAGGATGGAAAACCAGTTGGTGAACTTTCCTCGATTTTAGGGCTGTTTTCTGAATTATTTAAAAGAATCTTTTACCCCTTTTTAAACTCGCAATTTAAATTTTACATTCTCTAATATTTGAGGATTTTATTTTCACTTTATTTCCTGGTAAGATGAGACTTTGCGGTGAAAAAACATTAATTATTTTCCTTGTTAACCCTGTTCGGGTCCATTCAATAACCAAATCTGTGATTGTGAGGCAGAGGCTGCTTCCTCCGCATCATCTGTTTTCCTGGAACAGCTACTGAACATACATTTATACCAGGCTTTGCGCACACCTGTCGCAATTCAGTCGGGCAAAATGAGAGGGAAGCAGAAATCTTCCAGTTTGGCCGGTACTGAACTTTACAGTTTAATATCAAACCTGTCATCACTGTTTGCTTTTTTTCACCCTGTTGGTTTTGCAAACACGTGTTTATAGCTCAGGTTTTCTGACGTTCAACCCCCCATAGATGTAATAAAACCCTTTTTTTGTCACCTCCTATTCAATTACGTTTGCTGAAGACTAATGTTTACTGAATAAAATGGTTGTTTACAGTCTTTGGATTATCCCACACCTAACCCAAGCCATTGTCGACACCTTGCAGCTCCACCTGGTTCACACCCAGTTTGTTCACACTGGTGGGAGTTGTATGTTTGTCTTTTTGCAACAGACACTTTAGGCTTTGGGTTTGACCGGTTTTGGTAATCTGATTGAAAGATGTACATTTATTCTAAGATTTGTTACGACAACACATTGGATAAAACATGTTTTGATCTTTTCTTTTTTTTTTTTTTTTTTGGTTCATTTTTCTTGTATTAAGCCACTTTAGCAAAATTTCGCCCCATGCATCTGTACTGGAATAACACGCCACATCCGCAACACGTCTGTTAGATGGATGTCAGATATTGTGATCACATCAAATGATGGTCATTTTTGTTGCCAGTGCTGATGTGTCATGCCTGATTTACTCAGAGAAAGCTGCTCGCTGACTTATCTGTTTGCCCTTCATGTTTGCCACTGGGGCAAGCTTGTTCATTTGGACTTTGTGTCCTCTGCACTCCAATGTCTCCAGCGCCCATATCGCTCTCTTACTCAACTGCCACTGGCCATGTTCTTCCTCTGCTAGATGATATTCCTGTCAGTCTTGACCATCCTCTTTTTGTTTCCTCACAGATCCAGTTCTTCAGGTCCCCACACATGTGGCAGAGTACGTATCCGAGTTACCTTTTCTCTAGTCGCACATGTACAGTGCTTTGCAAAGGTGTTCACACCCCTTTATAATATTCCTCAGATTGCTAGCATTTATTTTGCTAGCTGATTTTGCTCAATAAAATCCAGTATAACCATTTTCTAATTGTGCAGCATAAATCGTAACTCTCTCTGAAGTAGTATTATTTAGTTTGACATGTACTCTGTGTTACCTGAAGATAAGAATGTGGGCTTTCTTCAAATTAGTCGTTTTTAATCAACGTCCTTGTCAAGTAGAACTAGATCTGGCACAATTATTTTTTTTTTTTGTTGATATAAGTGATTCAACAGAGAAAATTAGGTGACATCTTTTTATTTACATGTTATTTTTGGTTTTGGTTTGTTAGAAAAAAAAATCCCAAATAAAATCCCTTGGACTGTATGGTTGTTAATTGGCAAAATGTGGTAAAGTTTACATTTTTCCACTACTTTTGCAAGTCACTGTATAGTGAGTTTATGCAAATGTTGGCTGCAGCATGATGAGTCTGACTTGCACATGGAGAACGACCCCATCACTTTTTCATTCTTCCCACCAGACCGGCGTTTCTTCCAGACCCCAACGACGGCAGCCTGTACTCTCTGGGTGGGAAGAATAACGAAGGCCTCACGGTAAACAGAAAAATATTACTATATATTTGTTTTATCCTCCATCTTTGGGTTGAAACACCTCTTAGTTCCCTGTTCTATAGAAAAGTAGTAATGCCTTTTCATGGTGAATTTGCAGCAGTGGTTGTTTTTAGTATGTGTTTCTATTTTTTTTTTCATCTCTTGAAACAATGACTTTAATCTGAAGGTTTCTGCTTTTAACAGAAATTACCGTTCACCATCCCTGAGTTGGTCCAAGCTTCACCGTGTCGCAGCTCAGATGGAATCCTCTACATGGGTACGGCTCATTCATAAATGCCTCCCCACCCCCCCACCCCCTTTTTTGCATACACATTTGCAGATCCTGCCTGTATTTATCACCTTCATAAAGGTGTGGGTGTTATCTAGGCTTCAGCAGGAACCAACACATTGTCTTCTAGTCCCACTAAAGCTGCTTTGGTAACCTTTTCTTGAATTTAGACACGAATGTCACATTCCCCTCCTTACTAATCATCAGTTTTATTTTACTTCATTCAGGCTTTCTGCTGTTCAGATGCAAACTGTAGATGGTACAGTGAATACTTGAACATAAAACCGTTGGCCATGTGTATCAGACTCCACATTGAGCGCAGGATTAGATATCAATGCAAACATGTCAAGGTTCTTGTTTTACTGTGAAGATAGGACTCATTCATTTCAGGGTTAAACGGTTGTCAGTTATTTTGCATAACCAGCCTTGTAAAGAGTGCCTCCTTTAGTCGGTTTAACGGTTTTCTTAACATGCAAGCTGTTAAGTGGATCTTTGGCGAGATAGTTGCACAAGTTGAACCATTTTAGGTTTTGTCATATTAGAACCACAAACCTCATTTTGTTAGGATTTGATGCCACAGTATTTCCAAACTTGAGTCAATAGTTTAAAACACCTTTTGCTGCAATAGCAGGGGAGTCGTCGAGTCACTCATCATGTGGAGATGGACATTTTCGCCCGTTCTTGTTTGCAAATTAGATCAAGCTTGCGCAAAATGGATGGAGGCTTTTGTTAGGTTTTGAACTGTTCCTTGTATCACTGGTTATGCAGGTATATCTGTCATTTGCTGTATGGGTTCTAATGAGGTTGGCTTGGTAGATTTAAATGTATCTCTTGGTAAAGACCTTTAAACAGGTTTTAATAATATTAGGACTCCAACAACTAATCAGATTAAACGATGATTTAAATAATCAACTTATTTAATCATTAACTGGAATAAAGAGACTCTAAAACATGCCTTTAGCAGACAGAGAAACCCACCAGACCTGAATTTTATTATTAAAGATGTTTTTATTTGTCTGGTGGAATATTCTCATTTTAAATATATCTTGCGTTCCTTAACTGTAAGCGGATAATTATTTATTATTGGAAATAAAGGCTTTAGAACATTAGATAAGATTTATCTGATATGTTTTGATAAAATGAGTTTTTTTTATATTATATTCTAATATATATTCAGATGCACCTGTTAGTTAGGGTTATTGTCCTACTAAAAGGGAAAATTCTTTTGCAGGAAAGATTTTTTTTTTTTCCCTGTGTACCCCCTTTTTTATTGTCAACTTTTCATGATCAAAATCCTCCCACTTCCCTTCCCCTTGATTTAACATTTTGTATGCAGGCCAAAAGGCACCTTCCTTTTCATTTTTGCTGTTTCTTCTACATGTCTTTTAGCATACCAGGGACAAGACATCTTATTGCTTTCTCTGACCTTTACCTTCTTCTTGCCACTCATTCCATAAGTATTCAAGCATGCAGGGAGTAAGCATGCTTGGTGTGAGGGATTGCCTTCCAGTCAATAAATGCAGTGTTTTTCAACCCTGGTCCCCTAGGCACACTGCCCTGCATGTTTTGGATGTTTCTGAAGTTCAGCACACCTGATTCAGATGATTGCAGTTCAGCAAAGCCTGATAATCTGTTATCAATTGATAACAGGTGTGTGAAAGCTGGGAAACATCTAAAACATGCAGGGCAGTGTGCCTTGAGGACCAGGATTGAAAAACACTGAATTAATAGATGCAATCAACTGGTTTTCCTTAGATAGAAAAATTTTGAATCAATCTGACTTAATGATCTGGTTGAGTTGTAAAGTTCTTTGAGATGCCATGTGTTGTGAATTGGCGCTATATAAATAAACTGAATTAAACTGATTGCTTTAATCTGAACAACTAATTAAGATGATTTGCCAATTGAATTAGTATAGTTGCAATTTAGATTTTTGGTAAAAATAGTTCAGGCCTAATTAGTACTTTCTCCATGGCCTGTCCACTGTTGTCTTCACACTCCATGCTACTGTTTGTCCTCTAACAAACCTTCCCTTTTACCTTGAGATGAAACCGGTGGTTTTTATCTACTACTTAGGTTATATCTGAAGGCAATCCGCCGCCCTTGGTTTTATTTTGATGTATCAAAATGAATAGAGCTGAATCCAACTTCTGAAAACTGTGGTCTACCACATGAAGTCTCAAAGAAATGCATCTGTTTGTAGCACAATGACATGTTTTGCAAGACGCTGGATGATCTATAGTAATCTGTTTCCTGTGTGTGTTTGACGATGTGCTCTGCTGCAGGTAAAAAGCAGGACTTGTGGTATGTGGTGGATTTGCTTACAGGAGAAAAACAGCAGACTCTGACATCATCCTTCGCTGAGATGCTCTGTCCGTCTTCATCCCTTCTCTATCTGGGACGCACCGGTAAAAAAACAAGCTCATCTGGTTTTCTAACCAACATAGTTGACTAAACATTTTAATCTACTTCACCAAAATGGTTGTTTATTCAATGCTCGTTGCTACGGACTATTCATTTAATTTTCAAACAGGACCTGCTTCTTTAGAGTTTAAAGAGCTTTTGCAACCTGAGTGTTTTTGTCCTGAATGCTCACAATGAAGTGTTTTTAAAGGAAATGTAACACTATTTAACTTTGTGCTTATATAATAAAGCTGACACTGTGTGTGCAGCTTATGTAACCATGCACGTTTCTGTCCCTGCTAGAGTACACTATCACCATGTACGACACAAAGAATAGAGAGCTGCGCTGGAATGCCACCTATTCCGACTATGCCTCAACCCTCCCTGACGATGACATCAAATACAGTACGATTGCTACTAAAGCATGCTGTTTATTCTCACTTCACTTTCTAATACACCAGCATGTTAATTACTTCCCTTTGTTCCATACAAAGAAATGGCTCATTTTGTGTCCAACGGCGATGGCCTGGTGGTGACTGTGGACAGTGAGACAGGAGACATTCAGTGGGTGCAGAACTACAATTCACCGGTGGTGGCCATGTACATTTGGCAGCGTGAGGGTCTTCGTAAAGTTCCCCACACTAACGTGGCCGTGGAAACGCTGCGCTACCTCACCTTCATGTCCGGAGAGGTTGGACGGATAACTCAGTGGAAGTATCCGTTTCCAAAAGAGAAGAAGCCCAAAAATAAATTCATGTAAGTCATCCTGCATATTTTGCTTATTTTTTCAAGTAGCGTGGAGCCATGGAAACACATCCATTGAATCTCTCTGCACACGGTTCTTAATCTAATCTGAAGGCCACGTTAGATTTGGCATGTCTGCATCAACTGATTACAAATACCTCAGATTGTAGCCCTTAGCTCTTATTCCTTCACCTTTTAGCAGGAATAACACTATCCAGGATAGGAAAGGACTCTTTTTAGTGTTTAGCGTTCTGGGTGTTATTTAATCGACCAAAAGGCACGTTGACGATGCTCATCAGATTTGGGACTACAGCCGTCTAAAAAAGAACTACAAAAAAAAAACAAAAGTTACACAAATTTAGCACATAGCTGAAGCTCATAATTAAAAAACCACAACAAATGAATATGTGTCGATCAGCGTGTGTTACACTGTTCGTGTGAGGAAATACATCTATAATTATTAAGAAATATTAAGCAATACATAAAGTTTGTTTGTCACAAGTCAGTGCCTTCATGAGCCACTTTTCAGACTAAAATCAATGTTTATTATTTTGGAATCGAAGGAAAGGTGCAGGGCCACAGAGTCTCGGTTAGTGGAGATGATCAGGGTTCATTTTCATACCATACAGTAGACGGACCTGCTTACTTTTTTACAATAACAACATTTATCTCTGTTTAGCTGTGAGCCATAATTATCAAAATTAACTGAATTAAAGCTTCCATTATATCAGTCTGTGTAGTTCATCTGTATAGAAATTTATCCATTTAGTGAGTTACTAATTTAAATACACCTAAAATTTGTCTTTGAATCCCATCCAGAATAGTAAAGCACTTTAGTTCAGATTGGATAATGATGGATATAAAGTAAATGGAGGTAACTAAGACCACCATGTTCAGCTCCACACCTGCTTCCTCTGCAGCGGAAAACAAAATGACTACTCAGTCTTCTTGCCTGAAGAGATCTTTGTCACATCTTAGCTTAGCCCAAAGCCTGTCAAAGTGGTTTTATCCAAGAAGTAAGGAGGTTAATTCACTGTTACTGTATTTCTGTTCTTTTCAGGGCCACTTTATACGTGGGTAAATACTCTACAAGTCTGTACGCTTCACCCTCTTTGGTACACGATGGAGTGACAGTGGTGGTGAGCACAATCTGTAACATTATTCATGCAAACATCACAGCCATGACGCAGATTTATTTGGTAGCTAAAAATGTATTTTCTATCTTTTTTTTTTTTTTTTTTTTTTAATCAGGGTTAATGTGTTTTGGTCGAGTTTTTTCATGGTTTCTCTATTGTGTCTCAGATAATAAACCTTGATAAGTGGAATGTTTTGAACAGGAGGCTGTTTTCCCTTTATATAAGCTGCTGAGGGGTCTGATAACAGAAGTGTTTGTTTGCCTTTAGCCTCGTGGAAGCACCTTCCCCCTGCTGGAAGGCCCTGATAGCCAGGAGACAGAGGAGGATAAGGAGTGTTTCATCACACCCAGCACAAGCGTGAAATTCAACGCTGGCCTTCGAGAGCGAAACCGGATCAACTTTATGAGGAACTATCTGCTTCTCATTGGTAGTACACAAGAAATCAGTCATATACTCTATTTTACTTTACTCTGGAAAAAAAAAGAAGGGTGGTTTGATGTCATTTTATTGTTTTTAAAATTCTGTTTCCTGAAAAAGTCTAAATATGCCTAACTGGAGACAGGACACTTAATAGCTTAGCCTCCAGGTGAATATGGTCTGCCATCTACTGGGTGACTGGTGGAATTACAGTTATCTACCTGAAAACAAGCTGAAGGTTTCCGTGCTTTCCGGCGCTCTATTCGGTTCATTTTTAGAATTTTAAGTATGAAGCCTCTTCTCCAGCTTCTTGTTTCTAATATCTACATAGCTTAGCCTCTGCAATAAGTAAACCCTTTTTTATTATTTAGTTCTTTATTAAATTAAAAAAGCAAAGTAATCCGTAGGGTTGAAGCTTAAAAGTGGAGGAATCAACATGAAATACTTTGCTTTGAGCTAAAACTCTCGCCTTCTAACACTACAATGGTACAAAATGTTACTTAACTGAAACTTATACCAAAATCACCTTTTTTATGTTTAACAGAAAGGCAGCTTTTTATTTCAATTGTTTTTATGCTAAATAAGTAAAAAACATCTATATTAATGTTATATTATTAATATTTATGTCCTATGTTTTGATATGTAGAGTTGATCTAAGTGTTTCTCAAGAGCTAATGTTCAGGTTATCATAAATCACTTTATTAAGAGCAAAAGGCCCATAGGAGCATAACGAGCTAATTGAGCATAAGCTGCTCAATTAGCTCGCCTGTTTGCTCTCTTGGATTCTGCATTCTGTTGATTCACAGACATGAAGATAACTGCAGCTTTTAAATGGTGATGGAATTTTTTTTCCTGATGAAAAGCATCCTAAATAGATTAATTAAGCTACCTTGTGAGAGGTGTCCATGCCGCTGCCTTTTATCAAACCTTAACTTTATTCAAGGTCATGTCTGACATGTTGATTACTCTTGCTGTTTATGATTTTACTGCAGCTTAGAAAACAAGCAGTCACTTCTATGTATGCATTCCTATATAACTATGTTGTTCTAATATTGCATGCCTGACTGAGGCGTAGTCCTAAATCTGCTGAAGTTGAAAAGCGTCATTATGTTTGAAAAGGAGCAGTTTCATTGTCTCCCTGCAGTATTTTTATGGCACCATTTAAAAAAAAAAAGTGGAAATTCCCCCTTGCTATATTACTGTTGGTGTTTTGGATACTTTTTTCTGAATGTTTTTTTTTTTTTTTTTTGTCTTGTTTTCAAGGTCATCATGAAACACCTCCTGAGGCTCACACAAAGATCCTGGAAACATTCCCTGAAAACTTCCCTCGTAACCAAGGCAATGTCATCCCACCTACTACTGACAAGAAAGGAGAAGAGGTCTGTCTAATCATGTGTGGCAGAAATAAACTTTGACATTTTCTTTGTTCATCTGATTTATTTTTATTTTTTATTATTATTGTAGAAGGTCAATGATAGTGGCATGGATGAAGGTCAACCGTCTACCTCCATCCAGGAACCAGGGGCCAGCAGCCGTACAGTGCGCTCAGAGGCCCCAGTAGACTCCATGCTCAAAGACATGGCCACCATCATCTTCTCCACTTTCCTTTTGGCCGGCTGGTTGGCTTTTGTCATCATCTACCCTAAGGTAGAAAACATTCTGACCTACTTCAGTGTATCGAATTTACTCACAGAATATCATTAGCTAATAACTGCAAAACTTGCTCTATAAACACTGAATAAATGTACTCAAACTGGTTGTTAGATGTACCATTTCAGTATGAGATTGTACTACTTCATAAAAAGTAAAAAAAATTGAATTTTTTTTTTTATACATCTTCCCAAAAAAAGATTTGTTAAGCTCTCAACTCAGAGACAGTAATTGCTTTTGATCAATTCGCTCAGTCAAATTGAACCCCTTAAAATGAACCTTAAGTTAGTCCATTTTAAGGAAAGGGGAAGAACAAAGTGTTGAAGCATGGTAATATCTCAGCATTAACTGTGTTTAAACCCAGGGGGTTAAAGTTACAGGGAACTCTGAATTAGCAGCTACATTTTTATTAGTTGTATTAAATAACGGAACTTAACCCCTTAGCTCCCACCACAAAGAATGGCAAATGCCGTTGGCCAGAAAAATAATATTAAAAACCCCAGATGCTTGTAATGCCTCTCATTTGAAAGCTACGATCTTATAGTTTCTAGAGATATGCGTACAAACTCTGTAGGTTTTAGAGAACTTGAGTTATTTAACTTCAAACGTATCCAAAATAAATTTGCTCTCAGATAAAAAAAAATAATATTCTGTGTCTTGAATTTAATTCATAGTTGACCTCTTCAACTCACTACACTTGCTGGACGTATTGTGGGCAACAGCTGTGTAAAATGTCAGACCTCTAGTCATAGGCATTGTGAAACTGTGACCTTTCTTTAATGCAAAAAATCCATTCAGCACCATTGATCCAAATAAGAAACCAAAAGGCCAAAGTTCATTATTTGAATTTTATGATTAATTTATACATGTAGCTTTACACAAATTTCCAGTCAAAGGCTTTCTTATATATTATTTACAATTTTCAGCTTTCAGAGATTTGACTACCGCTTTCTGTGCGTATCCAGTTCTTCTCTCGCTCCTTACGCACATAGATAATCACTGGCTGTGTCCGAATGTCCTCCCTAATGACTATAGAGGGGCACTATATAGTGGTTATGCCATTTTAAATGAGTGTCTGAACGTCAGGTAGATAAAAAGGTTGTGGACTCGAAATTTCCCACAATGCACCTTGAATAGAAGTGATCATCCATGGTAACTAGACGAGCAGATATATCCCAGAATGCTTTGTGAGGCTAGCTATCCTCGCAAAGCATTATGGGATTTGTTGTTACAGCTGCCTGCTGTCAGCGATTAATAACAAATATCGATCATCAGCGATTATTTGTCCAAACAGTCAGTTAACTGAGTTCATTATAAAGTGCACTATACAGTCCCCGCTTTAAGTAGTTCTTGACAGATTTAGGGGTTAGGGCGGACATTCGGACACAGCCACTATCTTTTCAGCCCGCTCCTACACCCATACTTCTTTGCAAAACTTTGCTTATTAGCTAACAAAATATGTCAATCAAAGTGTTGTGGATGACGCATGCGCCTGGGGACGGCGATTCTTTTGCGTTCGAGACATTTCTGATGTATTAGAAATACTCAGAAAGGAAGTTATGCTTGATTTTGGGAGCAAACACATGAATAAGCCCACGTAACGTAGATCATCTAAAATGGCAGACAAAGTTCACTAGATTAAAATCAGCTTTTTTCTGATGGACATTTTATTTAGGATCCCCCGATTCTAAAGGCGTATAGGATGTTGGGTTTTGTTTACAAACAAGCTTGCTGTTCCCAACAAAATTTCTGAACAAAATGTTTGACAGGGCCGTGCGGTGAGAACTAAGGGGTTTAACGACATGCTAAACCAGACATTTTGTAATCCTTGCATCCTTCGTGTTTTTGTTTCTTTCTCATTGCAGAACGTCCACAGGCAGCAGCAGCTACAGCACCAGGAGTTCCAGAGGCAGATGGAGGAGCGGTTGGAGCTCCTCCAGAGGCAGCAACCCTTCCCACCTGTAGACGTGGGATTAGGTTTGGCTTCAGACGGCGACTTCTTAGATGTTGCTCGCACTCGCTCTGACTGCTCAGACCACAGCAGCCCCAATATCACCCCCCGTGCCTCCAACCACTCCAACCTGTCTGTGTCTGAGGTGGGGAGCTCCACTAATGAGCAAGAAGATGGAGGTAAGGCAGCAGATTCTTCCCTTTGTTGATCAGTTTATTCGTTGGAGCTTAATATTCACTGCTTGAAACTTGTTTTTATCAGAAGACGACTTTACTACCGTCAGAGTCGGCAACATCACCTTCCATCCTAAACAGATGCTGGGCCATGGTGCCGAGGGGACTATTGTATACAAGTAAGTAAAACAGTGCTGGTAGCCTCTGCTTTGAATGAAAAAAAAAAGGCTCTGGCATTACAGCTTTATGTTTGTACGTTTTCCTCTAAAGGGGGAAGTTTGACAACCGTCCAGTGGCGGTAAAGAGAATCCTGCCAGAATGCTTCAGCTTTGCAGACAGAGAGGTTCAGCTGCTCAGAGAGTCTGATGAGCATCCTAATGTGATCCGGTACTTCTGCACCGAGAGGGACCGTCAGTTCCAGTACATCGCAATAGAGCTGTGTGCTGCCACTCTTCAGGAGGTAATTCATAAATTGTTAATACGCTTAGTATTTCAAATGCCGTTATTCTTCAGAAAATGACTTTAGCGTTACTAGTATGAGAGAGGAAAAAGAAAAAAAAAAACCTCCAAAGATGGTCAAAGGAAGTCGAAGAACCTCAATAGTCTCTACAAATACTCGTGGGGGGAAGTGGTTCTGCTGCTGCTCTGAACAAGAACGGAATATTGAAGTGGAATCATAATCCTGATTACGGAACAGATTACATATTGAGAAGGACTTTCTTGCTTCAAAAAAGTGTTGAAAATACTTTTTTTCCAACACTCATAATGCATCCGGTCTGAACGCAGCATCATCACTTTTCAATCTGAACCTCATTATATTAATCTAATCCTTTTGTAACTCTAATCAATAAGAACATATTAATGTTAGAAAAAAGGCTAATATAAGCTATCGAATTAAAGTATATCCAGATGATGTATTGTTTCTCAATCTTGAAACCCCAAGTATCCTACAGAGTCAGAAGAACATTGCGTACCTGAGCAGCAATATTTCTGACAGCCTGAATGAGCTAACTCAGTTATACACGAAAAGATTTTCTTTAACATTTTCAAACAAAAATATAATTCCTACAGAAAAATTTTATCCTGATTTGACAAATGTTAGACCTAAAACTTATTGCAGCATCACCTACACATCTAAATGCATAAAATAATCCTATCAGCATCCATACCATCCTCGTTTTCCATGAACCTGTTACTAGCATCTGCTCAATAAATCTTCAAAGCTGCAACATTGGAGTTAACTTATTAATTCTGACAGAGCAAGATTCAAATGATGATCGATTCTGTCATCAGCGCACCTTAAAGGCACACATCTCTTGCAAGTGGCCCATCGAGCCGGATGGTAACTCCAGCTCCGTTGTTGCTGGTCTCACGGCACTAAGCCACACCGAACTACATATAACTTGCTAACTCACGTGCGATTAGAACTACAAAATAAACTCGTGCATCGTGGTTACTGTAGTGCTAAATGAGTGCAAAGACTTTTAACAAGTAAGTAAGTAATTTTCCTATTGGATAATTTGGATCTGATTTGACAAAGGATTAGACTTAAATTTCACCGAAGCATCATTTGTAGAATATACTGACAAACTGGTTCATTTTTATGCTTAATTGTTGATAAATCATTTTAAATTTTAGCTCAGAACATTCTGCAACATTGAAATAGAAAATATTGACAAACCCTAAGTAAAATACTCTATTTTCCAGACTATAGAGAGCACCTCACTGTAAGCAGCACCAACTAATTTTTTTTTGTTGTTGAAAAAACTGGAAACGCATGAATAAGCCGCACCAGGCTATAAGCCGCTGATATCTACTGAACTGTCTCCCACTAAACCTGTAGGGGGAGCTCTTCATATTGCCAGTGGAGTAGGGATGAAGAAAAATGCTAGCTACCATTAGCTTGTTGGCTCGCAGCAGGAAGGGCTTCTCCTGGAAGATGGGGCTCAGCTCTGCAGGAGCTAGCATGTTTTTGTGCTAATTGAAAAGAAGCCCCTATTCTTTCATTTCCAACTTTGACTTCCGCCTGTGACGGTTAGGAAAAATCCACAGAAAAGCTGCACCTTGTATTGAGCCGACTGGTCCAAAAAGTAGCGGCTTATAGTTCGTAAAATATGGTAGTCGCACCAAATATTGCCGCCCTTAAGTTGATCCGAACCTCTGAGCCAGACTTTGAACACATACTGACCATTGTTCTTTCTTGGTTGGTTGACGTTCTCCATCTCTCAGGGATGTTGACCTTGCTTCACTGTGGGCAGTTCTAAAATGTCCCAATAGGTTCACACCTCGATGGATCCTGGGGGCTTCTGAACGTTCTAACAAATTTGTCTTTAAACGAGGTTCATGGTTTGGGTCAGATTTTTGAAGCTGTTTACAACTAAGCAATTATCCTGAAAAACAAATATTTATTCAGTTATAGATAAAGTTGGCTACTGTTAAGTTTCTGGAATGGCCCTGACGTCAGCCCAGTCCACACCAGCAAATCAAAACAACCAAAAGAATTTTGTCCGCAAATATCTTTCAACTTTCCTTCATGTGTGCTGTATTAAATGTTTTTAACACCATCACCTTTCCTCTTGCTAGTATGTGGAGAAAAAGGATTTCAACCGTCATGGGCTTGAGCCAGTCGTGCTTCTGCAGCAGACCATGTCAGGATTGGCCCATCTGCATTCTCTCAAAATAGGTACGTCAGTGAAATATGAAAATATTTTGCTGCCTTCTTTTCTTTGGTTCTTGTTTATTATTGGAATCTAATTTTCTGCATCCCTTTAGTTCACAGAGACCTGAAGCCTCACAACATTCTGGTGTCGATGCCAAACGCACACGGCCGAGTCCGAGCGATGATCTCAGACTTCGGTTTGTGCAAGAAGCTGGCGGTGGGTCGTCACAGTTTCAGCAGGAGGTCCGGGGTTCCAGGGACCGAGGGCTGGATCGCTCCTGAGGTTCTCAGTGAGGACTTCAAAGACAACCCTGTGAGTCGGGTTGGACTAGCTTTTTATTTCACCGTTGACATGAGCGCTAGTGTTGCGCCGATGCCATTTTTTGGCCCCGATACCAATACCCGATACCTGGCTGTGCAGTATCGGCCGATACCGATACCATAATAATGTAAAACAATTGCCATCATGGCTTTGTCAAGCTGCTGCCTACATTTGTGAAGCAGGACAAATTCTAATACAAAGTGAATCCAGTAGAACTTTTTATTGCCTACCTGGAATGGGTGACAATAGTTGAATAAACTTTTGGCTCTCAAAATGGTATCGGTGCCCTATTTGTTGGTACTCGCCGATACCGATACCACCATTTTAGGGCAGTATCGGGGCCCCGTCCGATACTGGTATCGGTATCGGTGCAACACTAATGAGCGCTACTTAAATGTATAATAACAGCACGCCTGCTTGAATGTTTCTTTTGAAAGTGGTCTCAAAGTATGCTTTGTTGCTCTTGTTTTCCTTCCAGACCTATGCTGTGGATATCTTCTCTGCTGGCTGTGTCTTCTACTACGTGGTCTCTCAGGGTAGCCACCCCTTTGGCAAGTCTCTACAGAGGCAAGCGAACATCCTGATGGGTACATACAGCCTCGACTATCTGCAAAGTGACAAACATGGTGAGAAATAAACCTACATGGAGTAAAGGAACATTTTTTCATTTGGGTTTTCATTGGTTCTTCTCGAATCAGTAGTAAGAAATTAGCAGGCATTTTTTTCCTCTGCTCTACTCAAGGAGTATTTAAATCATGTCTGGGTTTGCTCTCTTCTCAGGTGACATTGTTGCAAGAGATCTCATAGAGCAGATGTTGAGCATGGATCCGCAGAGAAGACCTTCAGCTGAAAGTGTCCTCAAACATCCTTTCTTTTGGAGTTTGGAGAAGGAGTTGCAGTTCTTCCAGGTTTGGGCTGTTTCCACATACTGGACAACTTTACTTCTTTATGCCTACAAAATCTTTACAGTGGCAGTACAATGTTCTTTTTTTAATCAAATATTAACTTATTGAACTGTTTAAGATTTACTTTAAATGCAAGTTTATTTAAATTTATTTAAACAAATTAAGTTTCTTAAATGTTTAGCCATGTTCCTTACTAAATACTGATCAAACTTGTGTATCCTTTCTGCATAATCTACTGCTTTTGATGCCTGGGTGTGTAAATACTGTATGTGACTGAGACAATTTCAAAGCCTTTTTTTCAGTAGATTAAAATCAAGTAACGTTTATTTATTTATTTATTTATTTTTGGTAGGATGTGAGTGACAGAATAGAAAAGGAACCGCTGGACGGACCAATTGTGAGGCAGCTGGAGAGAGGAGGGAGAGCCGTCGTCAAGAGCGACTGGAGAGAGCACATAACGGTGCCGCTGCAGACAGGTATGATGAGGCTGGGATCAAAGGTGTGAGCTATGCCACAATTTAGCATCTTCTGAACAATTTGGCTTCCTTGTTGTGGTATTTTGCGGCATCTCCCTTTCTTAACGGCGTCACTGTTTTAGCTTAGAGGTTGCACACCATAGAAGCTGGGTGATACCATCACCGAGTCGTAGAATGTCTTTGTAGTCCTTTGATTTGCTTTTGTAGACGATCTGAATGTTTCCTGTCACATGAAAGTAAAAGAAAACAAAGCGTGGGTGGGTATGCTTCCTGTCTGCATGGCACGCAGTGAGCATCGCAGCCTAGAGCATTGGTTATCATGTTTCACGTTAAACTGGGGGTGTGCAATATGGCTGAAAAATGTCTCACGCTCTAAGCCTGTCCTATCAGTCGATAGAGATAATTTTTGAGTCTACGGCTCAAGCAATTCAGAGTAATCGTGATTATCGAAATGATCATCAACTTATTTATTAATTATTGTATAGAGACTCTAAAACATGCCTTTATCTGACACTCTGAGCAGCAAATATACCAAAATTGGGGAAATTTTTTTTTTAAAGTTTTGCATTTAAGATTAAACAGTTTCATCTGTCAACATGCTCTATACAGAAATCCTCAAGTGGAAAGGTACTAGTTTCACAGGTTCAATTTTGTAAAACATCTTCTTTAAGGAACATTTGCTATCCGATTATTAATTGATAAATAAATTAAAAAAATTGATAATCCACAGATAAATTGATTTACAAAATAATCGTTATATGCAGCCCTAACTGATACACTATATTTAAAATAAGGACCAGAAAGAAAAAAAGGATGAAGCTAAATTGCAAACCTAAACCTAAAATAGGACAGCTCTACTGCCAATAATGGTTAGTTTGGCTAATTCCTTTCCTCTGCTTACATCTTGGATGTGGTTGGTTTCTGGATCAGAGCTCAGTGGAATTATATGGTAGAATGTTTTATTGGACATATTTTCCATAAATATTGATCAGGTGTTTCTCTAATGTATATTTTATATTAGTGAACCCGACATAGAAAAAAAAAAAAAAAAAAAAGGGATTTTTTTTTTTTTTTTTTATCATCTACTCCTTTTTTGTTTTGGTTTTCCCGAAGGAAATAATCTACTTTATTGCAACACTTTTGTGATTTTTAAAATAAGTCTTTTCTCCACCTCTAATGTACTGTAGATCCTGCCCACTCCATATACCAAACACATTTTTTGTTGTTTCTGAAGTATTTTAGTTGGCAACCTCTTTTAGTAGTAGTGCTAGTAAGGACTTGGGTTGAGTCTCTGCTGGTGACTCCGTATATTTTGATTCAGATCTAGACTCCTGCTAGTATATCACACAGCATCATTTACTTGAAGTGAAGTCATACCTCTCTGGGTGACTGGGGTCATTTTTTTGTGCAGAAACTGACGCTGCTGCCATCATCTTCATCTATCATGGTCTTGCTTTGATGATGCGCTGTGGTGGTGTTGTGCCGAATAATACATTTAATTTTATTGGAGAAAAAAAACTCTTATTGTAGTTTCTTTTAACCAAATACATTTCCACCTGGTTCTGGGTAATTTTAGCCTAACCTGTGTGTTTTATTTAAAGAAAAGGCTTCAGTTTTATACAGATTCTGCACACTTCATATTGTTAGGAAGAAATGCCTGCAGCCATATTATTGCTGAATCTTGCAAAAGCTTGGATTCTTTTTATAATCTCTGTGTTATGCAGTTCTAATGAGTCCAAAACAAAAACTCAAAAACCTAAAGATAAACAGTTTATTTTTCATAAATTTTTGGGAAGCATCTAACTTTTTCCATTTGATGACAGTTTACACTGCATCAGATTATATGATCCTCATGTTATAGAACCCTGATTGATGCCCTTTCTCCAAACTTTGGCTTTAGTTAGTGTAGCTGATGAGAAAAATCCAGAACAGTCGTAGGGTAGCAGAACTTCATCTAAATAAAAAAAACTGTAGTACTATAATTGATGGCGGATGTAAACTCAATAAATTCCATGTTGAAAGTAAATCAAAAGGACTTTTATTTATTTTGTGTGAACACTTTTATTTTTTACGTCCTAATAGGTTTGTTTATGGTTACATATTCAGTGTCATATGAAAGAGGAGGTAAAGAAAAGATTAGGTTTTATTTATTTTTATTTTACTCTCTTTAAAAGGTTTTATTTCCCCCCTTTATTAGATCTGCGGAAGTTTCGCTCCTATAAGGGTGGGTCGGTCCGAGACCTTCTGCGTGCAATGAGAAACAAGGTGAGAGTTTGATTCAAAATAAAGGTTATGGCTGAAACCAAACATCTCCCAGATGTAGATTCATAATTGCTCTTGTCTTAACAGAAACATCATTACCGGGAACTGCCAGCTGAGGTGCAGGAGACTCTGGGCTCCATCCCCGATGACTTTGTCTCATACTTCACATCCCGCTTTCCTCACCTCCTTATGCACACCTACCTCGCCATGAGGATCTGTGCGCCCGAGAGGCCTTTCCTGCCTTACTACCCTGCTGCACAGCAGCAGCAAAAAACACAGACGCAGGGTTTGCAAAGACTCGCTGAGCAATGCACTCAATCCCTGAAAAGTTCCACATCACTACCTACGTTACAAACGCAAGAAGAGTCTCATTTATCACAGTCTGTGCAGTCATCCAGAGAACACTCAGTATCTTCAGACTCTTCTGTTCAAACATGTCACCCTGAAATTCTCGAACACACCACAGCGTCTGACCTGTGTGAAAATGTCTCAAAATGGCCTACAGATCCTCTTAGGCCTGATATATTCACTACCCTGGACAACACAAGCAGTGCAGACTGAGCCAATGCTAAAGTGGACCCAGGTGGGGCGTGGGAGCTTTGCCTTAAACAGTGGAGAACATTCAGGGGTTGGCTGCTGTGCCACGGTGAGAAGCAGGCCTGCAGTGCCTGCAATCACCTGCAGGCACAGCAGGCGGACCGCAAACAAAAGTGCCTTCTGCTGGTCTGGATTCAGGTGTGTCCGTCTATCTTCTCCGCGCAGACGCCCAACTGCCGGCAAGGTGTCGTTGGTTCAATTCTTGTAGCTTGACTGAGAAAAGAAATGGCTTTTAAATGTTATTTTTATGACACTGTGCAAAAAAGAAATGCTCAATGTTGTGGAAAATGTCTGCAAATGTTAAACAATTGGGTAGTTTTATTGTGCAATGTGTGCTTGTCAGTAAGAGCATTTGCTACAGATGCTGTTTGTGTGATTTTTGTACTGAAAGATTGAAATTCTGGGTCATAAATTGCTTAACATGGCCCATGTGCCTTTTTTTATATATCTATATATGAAAACCCATCACTGTGCTGCATGGGTACTGATCTTTAAAAAGCCTGTGCTTTATATGCTTGATTCCACTTGATGCTGCTAGAATCTGTGTCTATCTGTGTTGCTGACTCAGATGTTCCAAAGTATCAGGATCAAGGAAATGATTGAATCCTCATCTTGATGTTGAGAATGAGTTGAAAAGTGGAGCCGGAAAATGTTAATTTTTTTTTTTTTTAAGTGTCATAATGTCGTAATGACTTGCACATATTAAATTCTATGGTTTTCTACTGCTATTTTCCTTGTTTGGTTATCTTGTATCTCAAATAGTTTTCTGCAGGATTTAAACATTTTAATTCAATTTTTCTAATTTTGTCTGAAAGGTTGTAGTTGGGACTACAACTAACATTTATTTTGCAAATAGATTAATCTGTTGATTATTTTTTGAACGAATTGATTAATAATTGGATAGCAAAAGGTTTCTTAAAGAAGATTTTTTGCTAAATTAAACCAGGTGAAACTAAAACATTTCCACTTGAGAAGTTCTGGATTGAACATATTGACAGATGAAAAAGTTCTGTATTTTAAATTTTATATATATAATATATATATATTTTTTTTTTTACAATTTTGGTATAATTACTGCTCTAAGTGGGTTGCTCTGTCAGCTAAAGGCATGTTTTAGAGTCTCTATACTCCAGTTAACGATTAATCGATTGCTAAATTAGTTTACGATTATTTCAATCAACTCATCAAGATTAATCTGACTAACTGTCTCAGCCCTAGATTTATTTTAATATGAGAAATTACAAGGCTTGGACATTTACCCTTTCCTGCCAACTCTTAAGAGTGCTGTTCCTCACTAACACTTTTAGAGTTCTTTTTGGGAATTAAACTCATATTTACTCTCTTATCTATGGTTACATACTGAGTCTTAAATATAAATAACAGAGATTTTAGATTGAAGGCATCTGGGGACGGAAGTCTGCATCCCTGCGGATAAGACAAGTATTGGGTTTCAGGCAGGTTTAAAAGGGTTTTGGAATTTGCTGACTGAAACCATTAGAGACCCTGATCTCATGACATATTCAATTACTTATTTTTCATAAATTGCATTTCATACAGTTTTTTTATTTTTATTTTTTTCTGCTGCCACTTTAAAAAAAAATATAACAGCCTGTCTCCAGACAAAAATACAGTAACACATGAAACCCTTGAAAGGATTAGAGACTGTGGCCCAGGTTCCCCTTCCAGTAGGATAATGACCACAGACCTACAGCCAGAACTATAACAGAATGATCAAAGAACACCAATGAGCTAAACTTGAATTAAGTTTGGATTCTGTGGTGAAATTAAATATGCTATTTCACAGATAATATCCAAAGATTTCGACTTATTTTGAGCTATTTTGCTAAGGGTGGACTCTAGGGTTCCTGTGTAGGCCCTGTTTGTGCTTTTTAGTTGGTTAAACTGCTTATTTTGATCGCAAACCTTAAGCTGCATGAACCCTATACAGTAGTTATTATGGGGCTATCATCTGAACTATGGACAAACCCCTATGACACATAATGGGAATGGCTTGGAGAGTGTAAAATGTACACCACACTTTTCAGATTTCTGTTGGTATAAAAACATTTCAAATGTGAAACAGAGTTATAAATCCATTTACCATTCTTTGCATATTTTCAACCTTGAAAATTGCATCATTTTGAATTAAATTATCAGTTTTCAGATGCATTTTATGCAATGTGAATCCACTATAAAATGACCACTGCTTCACTGATGGAGCTACTTTAGGGAGGAAGTGCACAGATTTGACTTCTGTTCAACAGATGTTATATTTACCCACCATCTATGGGGGTGTTGGAAAGGGGAAACTGGGAGGAATGTGGCAGCACTCCAAAGGGGAGACTGACTCATGGTTCGTTCCTCCTTAAAGCGATCCAATATGCTTTCTTCTGGTACCGTACTGGCCCCGTTATTTTGTGTCCTCTTGTGGGATAGTTGTATCACCGCCCTGCCTTATTTAATAGTTTCAGGAGAAGCGAAAGTTAACGGAGGGGTTTTCTGAGCGTGCGCAGCGCGCGCTGCTGACGCACAATCTGTAGATATGAATCTGTAGTCTGCTGCTGCTGCCTCAGACAGGAGAGGAAACTAAACACGTTTCCAATGTATGAAACGCGTTAGTTTATTCCTTTATAATTAACTCTCAGTCCCTTAATAAAACCAGTGTCGCCCATGCAGCCTTAAACCATCCTCCTCAAACGAAGCACGACTGGTGAGTTTTTTTTTTATTGTATATAAATGTCTGCAGTTTAACCTTTTTTTGCAATCCGTCGGAAGTGATGATGTTCTTGGATTGGGAACATTTCGGCGCTTTTGACTTGTTTTGTTTTCATTGTTCATTTTCCTACGGTGGCCACTGAGGTTTCCTCCAAACCATCGATTGTTTTCAGAATCAGAAACTTAACTCTGTCTGCACAAACAATGAATGGGACTTCTGTTCCCCATCGCCCAAATCGTTAACTGAACCCAGGCAATATTCTCAGTGTGTAGAAAAACTTAAAATAAGGAGTTAAAACAAGAATAAAAGACATTATTCAGAGATGGGTCTGATTAGTCTGCTCATCATTTTGATTGAATTCCAGTTAAGTTTAACAAAATAATGGATATAAGCATAAACTGCAGAGGATCATCTACCTCTAAGGCCAGCCTGAGCACTGATCTTAGTTCTTCTCATCTATATTTCTCACATCTAAGCCTTTAAGGACTGCTATCTATTCAGTTGCCCAGAATCAGTACTACAGTTTCACTGAAGCAGCCCTGTAAGCTTTTACATTAAAAAACACAAGACATGAGCAGCCCTATACAGTGAGCGGTAGCATAAAATTTTATTAACCTTCGATAAGTCCGTCCATTGTGTCAAAGTATTAAATAAATGAGTGATGAAAGGTTATAAGCATGTTTGTTTCTTGCAGAGTAGCTGGTTACCTTGGCTGTGAAGTGTGATTCATCAGAGACACGCCCTGGGGGAAAAGATTTTCTCTGTGTTGGTATTTGCTATCAGTACTTAAAACACTGTTTGCCAACTTAAATTAATATGCAGGTAGCTAATAATGTAATTGTTTTAAAAATGGTGTTTCTTTCTTGCAGAATGAAGGCAATGAGCATGGAATCACAAAACTGAGGAAGTCAAATAAAAGGAACCATGGGTGAGTTTTATCTATATATCTGATATACAGTCAAACCAGATATTAACAAAGGCTGACAAAGACAGATAACCATTTGATTTTATGTTAAACAAAATATGATCTGTTTTAGATCAATGACTATTAACCAAACGTATCTCTTTGTGCAAACGTCCCCCCTTTCTCCTGACAGTGTTTATCAGCTGTTTGCTTTATATCTTTTTAGTTTTGCTCATAAAGATTTTTTTTGGACTGTGATTAGGGCTTTTTAATGGCCACACCCAAACTTGGACTTTGTTGTTTTAAACACACTTTGAAACTCGTTCTGCAGGATGCTTACCTTCATTTGCAAAACCTATTCGTGCCAAAGCTGTTACTCCCTGACCTACCATGAGATTAAGAACACTAAATCCTGTTCCCTTTATGCTGGTGAAGATGCTCAGTCATATAGGTCATAGTCACTCTAAAAAAGTAAAAAAAAAAAAAAACCACTGGACTTTGTTTAAAATGTCTGGATTAGCGTTGAGTTCCAAGCTTTATAGAGTAGCACAACAAAACCTTGTTTTGGCTTAGAAAACATGCAACATGAACCGAAAGAACAGGTCCACCCCCTTGTAATGGAAAGTCGTCGAGGTCGTTGTTGGCTTGCAAGACCCGATACTGGCCTATGCCTCTGAAAAGGGAATCATTCTGGTCCTCAAACGAATGTCCCTGTCCATCTACACATAAGGACAAAGGACATTCGTTTGAGGACCAGAATGTTCACATTTTGGACAGAGAAGACAGGTGGTTTTAAAGGGGTGTGAAGGAAGCCATTTATGTTAAGGAAGAAAAAAACAGACAACCTTTAACAGAGGGGGTGGTCTCAGGTTCCAGCTCTCAAAAACCTAAAGAGCAGCGATAATGTTGATTTCTTACCACTGTCATATCAATCTCCATTGCTATGCAGGGGACTAAAACATCTCGCCTGTTCAGCCAGGCCACCAATGACCCTAACGACCAGTCTTGGGTACGTTCCCCCTGCTTAACATGGGGGGAACGCTATCTGATGGGCTTCCATACCCCGTCACATAGCGTCCCACCTCCTGTGTGTTTGGGTTGTTATAAATACTGCAACATCTATCTATCCATCCATCCCTTTCTCCATATAGGCTAGCCTTCACGCTCTCCGTAGTTCCCCTGTGGCATGAGCACAGAGCAGCTGTTACGTGCCTTTAGCGAGCATGTGCGTTTCCTGTCGCTTGCGCGGTGAATTGTGCCGCCTGCGCTGTGCGGACGGAGATGCTGGGGAAACGCAGCTCGACATAACACCTGTATTTCCATCTGGAAAACACTGTTTTGCTGCTAGACTCCTCTTCACTCTCCATCTCTCTGTGTGTGTTGTACGTTAACACCCGCAAGCGAAAACACCCACCTACCCAACTGACAGACGGAATCTCACTATACAACAGCCAATCTCATCCTCCCCTCTCTCATGACAAGGCACGCACAAGTCCTATAATGAAAAAAGGTTAATTGTGCAACCTGAGTAACGTGCAGTAACGGGGTGTCAGCAATGTGTTATAGTTACAGTCAAAGTAATTAGTTAGATTACTCGTTACTAACACTGTTACTTTCAATGCCGTTACTCCCATCACTGCTAACGACTCCCTTTTCAGAGGCATAGGCAAGTATCAGGGCTTGCAGGCCAACAACGACCTCAACGACTCCCCATTACAAATGGTTGGACCTGTTCCTTCGGTTAAATGTGCATGTTTTCTTAGCCATTACAAAGCTTTGTTGGGCCACTCTATAAATCTTGAATTGAAAAAGCTTCCTAGTTGGAAAGCGAAACATCTTCAAACTTGGAAAACAAAATCCAGTGGATTGTTTTTTTTTTTACTTTTTGGAATGCGTCCCTCATGTTCCTATGTATTTCATGAGGTGCCCCAGTCTCTCTTATAACAACAGATCCATACAACATGGAGCTACCTGCAATTTCACTAATGATATGTTGTTCTCATTCCTAGACCTTTTCATCAAAATGCAACAATGATCATTGTGCCCAAAAACATAAAATACAATCTTAAAACAGTTCATTAGTTTCACCTGACCACAGGAC